AGGCCCTGCCAGGCGAGCGGGAAGGGAAGGGCCTGGCTGCAGCCGGAGCGTGGCAGGTGGCCGAGCCGGGGGTGGACGGGCGGGCCGGGGCCCGTGCTGCCCATTGGCTGCCTTGGGCTCCCGCCCCGCCTGCCTCCAGAGCCTGTGGCTCCCTCCCCAGCCAGCTCCTGCCTCTCCAGCTGCTCCTAAACTCCCCCAGCAATCACCTCCTGCCGGGCCATGTCAAGCTGTGACCGGATCGGAGTGGCCCCTGCCATGGACATGCCTGAGGTCCTCAAGTCCCTGCTGGAGCACTCCCTGCCTTGGCCAGAGAAGAGGACAGGTAGGATCAGAGGTGGCCTGCTTTGGCTGGCTACCCAGGTACCCAAGGGGTGAGGGCCACCCCAGGCACAGTGGCAGGACAGGCATCTCCAAGCTGGGGAGGGTCCCCAGCAGGGGTCCACCCCTGGCCTCTTCCTGGGCAGGAGGAAAGGTGGGGGTGCAGAGAGTGACACGGTGCAGAGTGCCGCTGCCACTTGGGGACTGCCCCCTGGGCTGGCTAGCTTTGGGAAGCCGTGGCCAGTGTGTGGCCACTGACAGATGCTGAGCTCACGTGGGACAAGGACGGGACCAGAGGGCCCTGCTGAGAGAACACATGGGATGCAGACTGCTTATTAAGTTCTCTGTATGTTGGGGTGGCAGAGGACTGGCAGAGCCCAAAGATCTGGGCAGCCTCCTGTGTCTGGAGAAGAGGCTTTCCTTTCTATGCTGGCTTCAGCTCCCGCTCGCTCACGGGAGGGCTGAACCCATGGATGGGATAGAAGCTGTTATGTAACAGGACCACAGGCTTGAAGCCCTGGTTCCTAGGATACCACAGGCAAACACAGGGCGAGGGAGCCATGGAGGAGGGTGTGGACCGAGGGGCAGAGCCAGCAGCCAGCACCAGGTGTCTCCTGAATCCTGCCTGAGAACCCAGGGCCACAGTGAACTTTGGGTGCCAGCCTGCTCAGGGTGCACCCACCTGATAAATATTTCTGCAAATCTCTTCTGCTTTAAGACAGCAGGGGCTCACACCCAGGCCCTCCTTGCTCAAACTCTGCAGGCGCCTTTAAAGGAGCCCAGCTGTCCTTTGCTGCCAGAGTCTGATTTAGGGGTCCCAGGTGCCCCCTCAAGGGACCTTTGTCAGGCCTCTCCCTCATCCTGATGTGCTGGCTTCTGAGATATCTAATTCCTGGTAGCCCTGGCTGTCCCCGCAGGACTTCCTTCCACAGGACTCTTAGCCCACTCCCAAACTCTGGAGCCTGGGGACAGACACCATGGCCCCCTGACCTAACACAACCTTTGGAGAGCTGGACTCAGGAAGAAAAGGTGCTGGAGGTTCTGTTGTTTGTGGAGACCGCCCACAGAAGGAAGACTGTTCCCAGAACTCAGGGGGACGCTGTCCCTGTGGGCAGTCTGGGCCACCCTCAGAGGCAGGCATTGTAGAAGGATTTCCTGCGCCCTCCTGCTGCTCATGAGGAGAAGCCCATCTCCTCAGGAAACTCTCAGCTCAGCCTGGCTGATGGGCCACAGCTGACTTTCGTTTGCTCTGTCTGAACATGCCATGTGGGTGTGTGAGGCTGGAAGTCCTTCCGAAAGCTAGAGGTAGAGGGCTCCCTTCTCGGTCGGTCCAGGCACCCAGGGAGGGTAGGGTGGCCCACGTGGCCCAGCGCAGGCACAGGGAGCAGCTGGGCTGCCAGCAGGTCCACAGGGACAGCTCCCAGCAGGGCAGGGAAGGGTTCTTGGAAGCAACTCAGGGCCCTGCTCCTCAGCCCAGGGTAACAAGGCCTTTGAAGTGTGGCAACAGCCGTTGGCCTCTGGCTCCCAGCTGGTCCCCAGAGCCCTGCGACAGCTGGAAAGTCCCCATTGTTCACTGTGGATGGCAAAGTTGGGGCCCAGCACTGAGGGGACTCACCCAGTGTCTCAGGCAGAGCTTTGCTAAGAGCTGGGAAACGGACTGAAGACAGCTGGTCTGGTACAGCTAGGCTGGCCTAAGGGGAATGGACCAGAGTCTCAGGCCACCTCCTTTCACTTCTCTACGTGGTGTCTCACTGAGGGTCAGAAGCATGAGGCCCCATGGGACTGACAGATGCCAATGGGTGGAAAAATGAGGGGATGAGGGTTGAAGAGTCAAGGGGGTAGGTGCACCCCGCAAAGACCTCTCATTACTGCCCCAATTTGCCATCATCACTTTCTAAAGCTCCCAGATTCTCCAAATCTTTCACAAAAATGGATGTACCACCTGAAATCAATATGCCTTGGGGAAGAGAGTACACACTCCATCAGAACTAGAATTTCCAGCAGGCTCGTGGCAAGTACAGTTGACCGTTGGACAACACAGGAGTTAGGGGCGCAGAACCCCATGTAGTCAAAAATACGCCTCTGACTTTACAGTCACCTTCCTGGATCCCCGGTGCCACATCCTCAGCTTCAACCAGCCGCAGATGGGGTAGTACTGAACGTATTTAGTGAAAAAATCTGCATATTAAGCGGACCTGCGCAGTTCAAACCTGTGTTATTCAAGGGTCAACTGTAGTTTACAAGTTCTTTGCAAAGCAGCTTCTCTCCCTGTGTTCCACACCCTGGCTTCGGCCCTCCCAAGAGGAGGACAACAGAGGTGCCGAGCTAGGTCTCAGCACGCCCTGGGGCTGCCCCTCAGCACTGCTCATCGTCCTCTTTGGTGTGAGGGGCATGGCTTTCTCTATGGGCGCCGGAGACCCGTTTACAGACTCCCCATTCTCCCAGCCTCATTCTCGGCCACCCATTGGACCAGCTTTCCGTTGTGGACAGTGAAATCGATGTCCAGCGGGAGAGTGGGTCTGTGTCCCAAGCTCTGACTCAGTTTCCCCTCTGTCTCTGGACTCTGATCCCTGAGAACTATTCTTCCTGTTTCCATGCCTGCCCTCTCTCCTGAGGACCCTCTTCCAAGAGGCAATTCTGTTCCAGACTACTCACTCTCTCTTTCTTCTCCAGCTTCTGGAAAGACCCTGCTTCTCTAAACAGTACTGTTAGCTCCTTACACTCTGTCCTTCCCTCACTCTGGGGGATCTTGGCTATGCTCAGAGGCCAGCTCCTCATCTTTCTGCCAACTTTGGTCATTCAGGTCTCCTTTTCAGGGAACCATGTAGCATGAAAGCACACCAGAGGTTGAATAAGGCCCCCACTTTGAGCTGGGCAGGCAGGGTCCCCACCTCGGGTACCCCACCAGCAGGGTACCCTTGACATGCCTCTCTCCATCCCCAATCTCTGAAAAGGTAAAAAGAACATTTACTTCACAGACTGGATGCCAGGACCCAATGGGCTATCCTATGTGAAAGTGTTTGCAAACTGGGAAGTGCCATGCTGTTCTCTGTGAAAGGCAAAGAGCAGCTAGGCCTGGAGTTATGCTCCTTCCATGGACATCACATTTTCAGTCTGACCCTCACTCCCTTCTTTCCACCCTCCTTCCCACGTATATTCTCCTTGAAAGAAGTGGATGGTGCCAGTTTGTGGGAGCACACACAGGGCTGTCTTCTTGGAAACATGTGCTGAGCCTCCTAGGGGCAGGGTGCCATCAGCACCGTACCAAACAGGACACAGGCCAGATCTCAGTGGGACTGGCTGGGCAGAGGCCAGGGTCTGGGTATCCTCCTCTTAGGGGGCTGAAGTGAACGGGCAAGAGGAAGGACTCAGAGCTGCCTGGGCTGTCCTGGGCCAGGCCTCAGTAAAGGTCCATGTAGTTACCCCTACCCGGAGCCTGAGGGAACCAGAGCAAACCTGAGAAATCCTGAAGTTGGCTTTCAGGGAAGAAGAGGGGAGGAGCCTCTATGTCCTCATGCGTAGGCTCTAATCCTCACTACCACCTCCCAAGTGGTGAGGAAATGCACCCACAGAAACGGGCTACCCTTGGGGCCAGTATGCGGTCAGCCTCTTCTTCACTCCCGCCTCCGGGGGTCGGCCTTCCTCTCTACCTGCCACCCCACCCTTTCCCAACCACCACTCAGAGAAGCGTGAGAAATCCATTCTCACTGTTTGATTTTTGTTGTTGTTTGAGGGGTATCAGGTGTGTTCTGGGATCTATGCTAAGTGCTTTTACATCACCAGCTGTGAAATGGCTCTGCAAGGAGGTATCTGTTCTTCAGATGAGGACAATGATGCTCAGAGATGGGAAGGCCTCACAGTTGTCGAGGGGCTCCAACCCAGCTCCATCCCACCCACAGGACCCCCTCACCCCCACCCCTGGTCTCTGGGTAGGACCTCTCCAGTCATGCAAACATTCATCACATTGAGTGCTTGCTCCACTTGTGGTGCAGCGGTGAGCAAGCGAGACAAACACTGCCCAGCTTGCCTGCTGTTTGCATTCCAGTGGGGAGAGACGGACTATCAGCTACCGGGAGGGTTGGGGCCAGCCCCTCCCAGTGGGTGACATCTGAGCCGAGGCCTGGAGATTCAGGAAGAGTCAGCTACACCAAGAACTTTCAGGCTGAGGGAACAACACCTGCAAAGGTCCTGTCTTGGGGCAGAGAAGACACATGTCTGAGGAATAAAAGGCCACTGTGGCTGCAGGAGGTGAATAAGTGGGAGAGAAGGAAGAGGTGAGGTTGGAGAGATCCATAAGGGGGTGAGCCTGTATGGCCTTGAAGGTCACAAAGAAGAGTAAGGCTGTCAGCTTCCTGCCTGCAAGGTCCACCCACCCCCACTATTCTTGGGGAAGTGGCAGGTTGGGAGGAATGGGGTGTTCCCAGTACAACCCAATAGGGAACTGTAGGAAAAGAGAACCTCAGTTGAGCACTTGCTATGCTCTAAGTGCTGTTCTCAGCAGTGTGCCTGAATTGACTCCTTTACTCAGGCTCAGAGAGGTTAAGTAGTAACTTGCCCAAGGTCACAAAAGAATTAGTCAAAGCAGGATTCAGACCTAGATGTTCCAGGTCCAGACACACCCTACACTGCACCAACATGGCTTCCACTGGAGGACCCTTAGCTGTCGGGAAGTGGCTGTTGAGACGCAGCAGAGGCTGGAGGTGAAGGCTTTTCTCTGGAATTGGCACTCTTGGGGCTGCTCCCCATCCCTAATCCTTACCCGAGGAGTGGACAAAACGCAATCCAAACGGGAAACTAGTACTCTTGAGAGTACTGAAGAGATGGGCAAGCCTCCAACCACCGCTTCGCCCCTAGAACACACTGAGACCAAGGTAGAAACCATAGCCCGGAACTATGCAGCCACAGGTACGTGGGCTCAAAAGGAGGCGGCTGTTGGCAAGGCCGGGTGGGGGACTTGCCATAAGGATGGCTCACGCTCGTTATTCCAGGTTTGATGGTGATTCA